ATCTGTTACTGGTCCATTTTATTCACTTTCTGTGCAGCAACCAGAGTGATCTTTTGAAAACTGTAAAATGAACAGGTTCCCTTTGTTTTTAAGAGGAAGGGGGAGGGAGGTAGTAGTGGCACACGCCTTCTTTAATCCCAATGCTTGGAGGCAGGCAGATCTCCAATTTCAAGGTCAGCTTGGTCTACTGAGTGAGTTCCAGAATAGCCAGGGAAGGCAGAAAACCCTTTACACACACACACACACATACACACGCACACACACACACCACTTTAAACTTAATTGGACGCCTGTTCCTATCTCCAGCTTAATTTCTCACTATGTTCTCATTTGCCAGTCTTTACAAAATATCAAACATATATAAAATTCTATAAAAAGGGCATGCCATACTGAATCATAAAGTCTCCTTATGATTATATCATGATGTTGACCTATACATTCCACAGAGTCTTTGAACCAACATTTCTACACCATTATACTTACTTATACTATTGATATAAATAGTATTTGCACAGTTTATTTATATTGTAGATACAAATGACATTTCCATGGACACATACACAATAATCTTTAAAGTACTGGTTATAGCTATAAAAGATTCTAACCTGTTTAAATCTCTGTTAGTAATGAACTTGAGGAAGTCACAATGGTGCCTCTGATGATGAGCTAGTAGAGACAAATTCAGTGACCACAGTAAGATGAAGAGAAGCCTTTACAAAATGCTACAACCATGTGATAAAACTGAGTCACTTAATTTTTAAGGGTGTTTATAATATAATCATGAAAATGTATACAAAACACATTGCTAAAAGTGGCTGTCTTAGAAGGAAACTGTGTATCAACAGGAGACAGTGTAGTTCAATTTTGCAATTTTATCTTTTGTACCTGTGTGTGGTAAAAATTATTTTCCTTAATTGTACATTCCTGGCGTCTTATTTATTTTTGTGTCATGTGATCTGCAGCCACTAGTAATAGATGAATTCGACTCCCCACTCTATGGCATTAGGCTTGGTCATACGACCTGCATTAGCCAAAGGAATGTTAGTCCATGTGAAGGAGGCAGAGGTTTAAACACGCTGGTGCAGATTTTCTGGGATCTGTGACAACAAGAAGAATCCTAAGAGTTTTTCCTTCTAAGCCGCAGTGGGGGCTGGGGGTGGGAGGTGGGGTGGGGAAGACATGTGGAACAGGCTTGAACCTACCCTATGGCTTTGAACCAAAACCTAAGTGATTTCATCCAGAAGCAGAGAAGCTACAGACTGGGAAAAATGAAAAAGAACTCTGTTGCCACACACCAAAGAGTTACTATTCATGGTTGCCTGGTACACTGTACTGCTTTAATAGGAATTCAGCTAACTTACCTCTCTTTAATCAGATTTATGTCTTAACTTTGCCCCTCTGTATTCCTATAAAACGTGTTAACTGATGTTCAGTGCCTCTGTTAGTGTCAGCAGGTGGAAGGACCTCCTGGTCAAGAGAATAAAGTCTCTGGCCTGGTGAAGATCTAACATTCAGTAGTGCTGGGTCAGTCATGTGGCAAGGGATATGTGCTCACCTAATGCCATGATAAAGAGATGGGAAGAATAATTAGTCCTTCAGCAAGATGCTGGGCTTTTTCTTCCCCGAATCTCCAACCCTAGAGGAGACACTGAAGGGCCGAAGACATAGGCTCATATAGTTCTGGCTATTTGCTTATCTGAATAGTTCAGAAAATCATCACATTTTTCTTTCTTCATTGGGTGGAGGAAAAAGGACTGAAGTCCTGAGGGCCAGCAGAAAGAATGAAAACAGGCAATCTTAGGAGTTGGGAGGTGCTGGGAGGGGACCCTTTAGAATATACCAGAGACCTGAGAGGTGAGAGACTCTCAGGACTCAAAGCAAGAAACCTTAGATGAAATGCCCAACAATGGGGAGAGGAAACTTGTAGAGCCCTCCTGCAGTAGAAAGACAGGGCATCAAGTGATGGATGGAGTTGTTATCCCACAGTCAAAAACTCTGACCCATAATTGTTCCTGTCTGAAAGAACTGTAGGGACAAAAATAGAGAAGAGCCTGAGGAAAAGGAGGTCCAGTGACAGGCAGAAATTGGGATCCAGCTCAAGGGGAAACCCCAAGGCCTGATGTTATTACTGAGATTTTGGTGTGCTTACAAAGAGGGATCTATCATGACTGCCCTCTGAAAGACCCAACAAGCAGCTGAAAGAGTCAGATGCAGATATTTGCACTCAACCAGTGGACAGAAGCTGCTGACCCCTGTGGTTGAATTAGGGAAAAGCTGGAAGAAGCTGAGGAGGAGGGTGACCCTGTAGAAGGACCAGCAGTCTCAACTAACCTGAACCCACAAGATCTCTCAGACGCTGGGCCACCAACCAGGCAGCATACACCAGCTGATATGAGGCCCCCAACACATGTACAGCAGAGAACTGTGGGGTTGGGTTCGGTCAGAGAAGATGCACCTAACCCTCAAGAGACTGGAGGCCCTAGGGAGTGAGGAGGTCTGGTGGAGTTGGGGGTGGGAGGGTGGGGACATCCTCTTGGAGATGGGAGGAAGAGGTATGGGATGTGGAACAAGCAGAGGGTAGACCAGGAGGGGGATAAAATCTGGACTGTAAAAAAAAGATTTAATTAACAAAATAAAAACAAAAGCATGATTTCCTTAGCAATCTGGGTTCCCTCACCTCCATACATAACACTTTGATCTTCCTTACTCTTTCTCTGAAACCTCCCCTTTTGCCCAAATGGTTGCCTGTTGGCCATGTGTCTGACCTACATATTTTTCCCTTTCTTGTCCATTTTCCTCTGGAAGGAGCAGAGGTTTTATAGCTGGCCTGCAAACACAGCTTTTTTTTTTTCAAACTCTATAAAACTGTCCTAGTGCTTCCATCCGGGTCGACTCTTAAGCTTTTTTACTAACGAGACTAAGAATGCACAAAGAGGACCCTGGTCTTGCCTTATACAAGGTCATTACTGTCAATGGCTGTTAGCACACTCATTTATCACAGCCATACCCCGTTGCTCCTGCTGAGTAAGTCATATGGTTTCCATGCTTTCTCAAACACACTGTGTGCTGTTATACTTACCAGAGCAGTTGAATTGCTTCAGTTATTTTGGGGTAATTTAATGAATTGGGTACACATTCCATGTGAGAAAACTACATTGCATTCTTTGAAAAGCCCGGTAAAGTCCCCAAAATTGTCATCTAGTTAATTATTTTCAAAAATAAAAATTATAAAACTCTTGAAGGATATGTACTTAAGCTGAATTCTCAAATGATTTTAAATTGTCATCACATTTTATAAACACTACAATTAACAATAATGATACATTATGGATATTTACTGGAGTGGTTAGGTATAGCTAGGTATCCTCTGAGAGATGTGGTGTTACATGAAAATACTAATGGTCTGATTTACCAATTTTAGGTTAAAATAAATGGTGCATCATCTTTTTATAATCCCATGAAGACCACTAATGTTTTTTCTTTAATTACATCATCATAGAAGTTAAAGGACTCTTCCAAGTGCACACCATCCAGGGATAGAAGAGCTGATGACAGAACGTCATACTACTCTTTTACCTCCACTAATTATAGAATCAAGGTCCAGCGTCTTTTAAACATCGTGTTAGAGCTATGTTCTGTCTGTCTATCTTCTCTCCGACTATCCTTCCATCTGTCTGTCTGTCTGTCTGTCTGTCTGTCTGTCTACTTTCATTAATACATGAGTATGTGTGAGAGAATATGCAAGGTGTGTAGATATGCCCCACACTTGTATGTGCTTGAGTGTGTTTGTGTGTGCATTTTTGTGTGTGTTTGTAAATGGTGTGTATGCAGGTATAAAGGTCAAAGTATGACATTAGGTGTCCTATTCTAGCACTCTCTAACTTACTCCCTTGAAACAGGGTCCCTCATTGAACTAGGAGCTAGGTTGGAGGCCAGCAAGCCCAGTCACCCTCCTGTCTGTTTCCCACACAATTCTGGGCTTACAGATAGACACAGGCACACTCAGACTTTTATTTAAATTCAAGTCAACACGCTTGCACATCAAGTGCTCTTACCCATGGACCTGTCACTGTCTCAGCCCAAACAGCTAGATAGCTTCTTCTTTTCTTTCATCCCTTCCTTCCTTCCTTCCTTCCTTCCTTCCTTCCTTCCTTCCTTCCTTCCTTCCTTCCTTCCTCTTTCCTTTTTTTTCTCTACACTTCATTTTCTAGTTCTAAATCAGGCTTTCCAGAAGCAGTTTGGCTTTAAATATTTCATGTAGACACTTTCACCTGAGACTTGTTTTCTCACAGCTGGCTCTAATAATACATTGCAATCAGTTAGCCTTCTTAATTTATCTTTGTCCTATAGTAGACAATTTTAGTAATAGATAATTTATTTTTAGTTCATTTCCCAAATTTTTTCTATCCCCTTGCCAGTTTGTAGTAGTATAATAAGCTTTTGGAAAACTTAACTTTTTGATTGTATTCCGTACTAATACTTTCTTTTATGCTTGTCAATGGGAGCTAAGATTTCTTTTGTGTCTTATTTATAATGCCTTCTGGTCAAATTGTGATTTCAGGTAGTCACAGACTACCTCACATTTCCATGCTTACAGTCAGTTCTTTGAAAAAAACAAGAGAGTGTATATAAGAAGTTCAAATCCATAGCTTTGCTCATGCTACCTACCAGAGCTACATCATCAGCTTTTGAGAAAGTCATCTTTTAACAGTTTTCTCAATTATGCAGTTAGTAGAGAAATGTTCTCTAAATCATCTTGGGTTGGAAAGAAGACCAGCTTCTTCATCAGGAGGACAACAACCTGATCTTTCAGATTTAGACTTTCCTTTGAGAAAAGAGCAGTACAAGTCAAATCTCTCCTCGGTGGAGCGCTGAGTCCCAGTACCACTTTAGCAATAGCAAATGAATGCTGGAGGATGGCTCATCGTTCTCCAGGGGTTTTCCTAAAGCCTTTCATAGGCCTGGAAGCAAATTTTGACTGAAACATAGATGGACTATATTTAGAGATATTCTTTCATCAAACTTATGATTTTACTGTATAGTCTTTGAGGGGCATCAAGGCCCCAGACAAAATCAAAATGGTTCCAATCTGGAAATAGCTTGAAGTAGCGCAGGTTAGTAATTTGGGGAAGTATCCTGGCTACATCTTTAGGTGTTACGAGCACGTCATGTCCACCAGCCCAAATGGCAGTAGGCACCTTCATGGCAGTCAGGTCATACAAGGGAGGGCGACTCTGTAAGAGAGACAAAAGGTAATTATGAAAAGACAGCTTCATTGGCACCATGTGAATTCAAATAAATGGAAAGGCTGAAAATGAATATCTCCTGTGAGCATTTATCTGTCAGACAAAATGGAGGAGGGGTGGATTTCCCATGCAATGTATGATCTCTGCCTTCAGGGAGTTTGTAAAAGATACACAAAAGAAAAGATAGTTAACAAGACACTGAATCCAGACTTTTAAGGGTGGGATGGGTTTTGACAGGTGTGGTGGTTTGAATGAGAATGGTCCCCATAAGCTCATATATTTGAAAACATGGTTTCCTGTAGCAGGATATTTTTCTGCTACATTATATTTGCAGTGGAGCTCGATGACTGGGCAGTAGAAGAGGTAGGTGAAGTGAGGGGTTGGAAGAAAAAGGAAGAGGAGGAGGAAAAAGAGAGGAGAGAGGAAGCAACATGGAGGAAAAAACATGGATCTCTAGCAGTCCCGGGTAGCAATTTCTATCAAAAGGTTAGATATTGGGTAACAATTCTAATTGGTTGGGTATCTTGTGTATTGAGCATTTCCAAATGTATAAATCCATTGAATAATCTTCAGGCATTAAGAGTCTTCATTCTACCAGGAATCGCAAGTATGGCAGGTATTGTCTGGGGCTTAGCAGAGAACCATGAGGGTGATGGGGTTGACCCAAGATCCATGCTTTGGGGCATGGTCTCTATAGAGCTGATTGGCAGAACCAGCTGCCATTGTATAGTCTCGTGGGGTGCTCTTGGCCTCTGGCCGATTCTAGCTATGCAGAGCTTGGCCTCTGGCCACTTCTAGTGCAGGAATATGGTGGGCAGCCCAGATAGCTAGCTGGGACCACCAATGCTTTTTAAAATCCCTCCTGTTACAGTCTCCAGCTGATGGAGCTGTTTGGGAAGAATTGCAAGAGTGTGGCCTTATTGAAGGAGGTGTGTAACTGGGAGTGGGGTTTGAGGTTTCAAAACTCACACCATGCCCAGTGTTTCTTTCTGCTTCATGGCTTTTGTCTCAAGACGTGACCTCTCAGCTACTGCTCCAGTGCCATGCCTGCCTGTCTGATGCCATGCTCCCCACTCCAATGGTCAGAGACTCTAACCCCCTGAAACCATGAGCTCCAAATTAAACTCTTTCTCTTATACGTTACTGTGGTCCTGGTGTTATACCATACCAACAGAAAAGTAATGAAGAAAACAGGTAAATCTGTGTATTGGAGGGCCTTCCAGGGAAGGACTAGTGGACCATAACCAGGAGCAATAAACTTACCAATGTGCCAAGCTAAGGAATCCAGAATGTTTAGAAACTTTGAAACAAAGCAGAGCCATTTTTCTGAGCTCTGTAACCTATGAGCTGTGGGATGACTGGAGAGGAGTAAGTTGAAGATTGATTCTACCAAGCTCAGGACAAACAGTGTGGATTCTCTGAGTTAAAGCTCCAGCGATGACTAAATCTCTCCCAAGTAATAAGAAGAATCGGTAAAGAATCTTAGGGGAATGCCAATAGTATAAGAAGGTTGGGAAGATGAGCAGTTGATATCAGAGGTGTGAGAAACCCAGAGCACTAGATTATAGAAATTCAAGACAAGGGGAGTTGTTCCAAACTGATAGAAAGGACTTCAAAAGGTGAGGATAGAAAAGCAAGTTTTCTAATTAAAAGCCACGAGTAGCTTTAGGTAGAGTGCCACATAACACAAAAGACCCCAAATAGACTTTTCCAAAGGTTAGGAAAGAACAGAGTGGGAAATACGCCATTTCTACTTCTATCTTTAAAAGCATTGGAAGAAATAGGGGGAGAATGAGGATTTCAAAACATTGATGGATCTAAGGGTGGTTTGTTTGCTTATATTTTGTAAAAGATGGGGGCTCTTGTAAGGTCATAACAGTGGTTGGTACCAAAAACAGTTTACAGACTTAAAGCAATCCCATCAAAATTCTAATGATTGTCTTTATAGAGAGAAATGAAAATGTCATAAAATTTGTATGGAAATGAAAAAGGACACAAATAACCAAAGCAATTTTAAGCAGAAAAATAATGTTTGAGATATCACAATTTCTGATTTCAAATGTACTACAGGTATAGTGGGACCTTTTTCCTCCCACTGCGTTGCCTCATCCAGCCTTGATATGAAGGTATATGCCTAGTCTTACTGTATCTTGTCATGCTGAGTTCAGTTGATATCAGTGGGAGGCCTGGTCTTTTCTGAGAAGAAGTGGAGTAGCAGTGGATCTCGGGGAGAGGAAGGGGGAATGGGAAGAGGGAAGGGAGAGGAGGCTATGGTTGAAATGTATTGAATGAAAAAATATAATAAATTTTTTTAAAAAAAGTGTTTGCTACTCTTGCAAAGGACTTGAGTTCACAACAACAGACGGCAACTTCCAACTGTTTGTAATTCAGTTTCAAGGAATAAAATATCCTATTCTGACCTCCATTGTTAGAGATTACATACATGGTATACGTATCCTGCAGGCAAAATATTTTATATCTAAAACAAAATAAATAAAATTTTAAAACATCATGTAAGATAATAATTTTGTCAATATTGTCACATGTTTATCAAGTACTAAACATATGATTCTGTATGTATGTTTGACTGCATCTTCCTTGTTTGTCACAATAAAATATTTTAGAAAGTTAAAAAATGAAACACAGATATGTAGACCATCTGAATACAACAGAAGACCCAGAAATTATTGACACAGTTACAAAGGTGTAAAAACCAGGTACTGGAGAAAAGGCAAGTCTTGTAACAAATGGTGCTGGGAAAACTGGATATTCTTTATTTCGTTTAAAAATAAAAATCTCATTTAAAAATGAAATAAAAACTCAGTGGCTCTCACTGTAAAAAAAGACAATTCAAAATTTAGCTTCAATGGGATTATTTAACATTGAGAAGTCCAGTCCCAACCCGAAAAAGAAGAGAAAAGTGAGTAAGGGCAGAGTAAAAGCCACTGCTAAATGAGTCTGCAATTTTGTTTGTTCCCATCAGAACTATGTATTATTTAACCAGGATGTGAGTAAAGAGTTGTGAAACAATTTCCAGCATTATTCAACCTTTTAAAAAAACGTTTAAAAATTTTTTTTGTACCATTGGTTATTTCTTACTGTAATTTGAAATAAAGAAGCAAGAATAACAGATATGCGAAGCTAATATGCATGCTAAAAAACTGAGATAAAACATATATCTGATATCTAACACCTCTAGGTAGAATTAATGCAAAAGATTTACTCTCTCTTTTGTCTGCTCTTTCATTTCTAAAAAGTATGCAAATTACAAAGGTCCACAGATTAATAATAATAATAATAATAATAATAATAATAATTAATAAACTCTATCAGTACAAATGTCAGAAGTTATCAGATAAGAGTGTTCTCTTTCAATTTCTCCCCCAAATTTCTCAAAGTTCTATGCTGCAGTTGATCTCTGAATGGCTCACCTGGTTGTAGCGATTCATATTTTCAGCCTCACTTCCCCAGTCGTAAGCTCTGAATTCATCAGATCGGTAAAGCTGAAATCAATGTTTTAGAGAGCATATTCAGCATAGGAATCGTGAGACTTAGAGACATATCAGGTGTGGATGGAAAAGGGCACTGGGTGCCCAGAGGGGAATGAATGACACATCAATTAGGAGAATGCTGTCGACAGAGACTAAGATGGCTTTTCTTGGTTTGAAGGAAGAACCCCATGGGCAAGCGCCATTAGAAAGTCAAATCCCAAACACCTCTCCCTCGGAGGAAGCTTCAACTTGCCTCAGTGTACCCTTTATTTCAGTCGAGGGAATATTTTACCAGTTCTAGCTTAAAATGGGATTGATTCGTGTCACACATTTGCTATCTACCACAAAACTCTTTCTCTTGAAGTCCAGGAAAATCAAACCCTGAAGAAGCAGCAAGAACAAAGTGGAGATGTCATCTTCTAGAGACAAGATGGTTGAGAGGATGGGTTATGACCTTTTGCATTCATTGAAACGAGTACAGGGGTGACTTTCTGTCACAAAGATGATACCTGTTTTATATGCAGAATGTTCTGAATTGATGATCCAGTGGGAGCGTGTGACATGTACACATCCAGTCGACTCTACGAAGTTAAAAAAATAGTCAGCTAAAGAAACGAACAACATTTCTCAGAAGCAGAGGACAATTAAGAATTCATAACAAGGCCGGGTGGGGGTAGCGCACGCCTTTAATCCCAGCACTTGGGAGGCAGAGGCAGGCGGATTTCTGAGTTTGAGGCCAGCCTGGTCTACAGAGTGAGTTCCAGGACAGCCCGGGCTATACAGAGAAACCCTGTCTCAAAAAACCAAAAAAGAAGAAGAAGAAGAAGAAGAAGAAGAAGAAGAAG